CACAATGTTGTGTTGCGTTTACACTGAGAAGCTAGACAAATTGTTCCTGCCACCCTTCAGTCCAGAACAGTCTTTTTATTTTGTTTTGTACTTCACTTGAGATATTTTGCAATGTGGTATTAATATCGTTTAATATTCCAAAATGCCTCATCAAAACTGTCTGAAACTGTTGCTAATTTTGTGTCAGGGGAGTGTAAATGGATAAAGGTTACGCCGAAAGCAGGTATTTCTGGGAGGGAAAAACCTATTACAGACAAACCGTAAGTGGAGGAATGGTACAGCTGCACCAAAAGATCCCCCCCCGCCATCAAGAAAAAAATATTTAAGACTTTGTGGTATTAAAAACAAACTGAAAAATGACATGGTCGTCAAAACATTTGTGGAGGAAAATGTTTTTAAGAGTGATGGTCCTTCCACCCGCCTCTCCCAGGGAAAGATTTAATGTTCGCTGATGTCTGGATGACTAATGGCCTTCCCATTGAAGCTGAGATTATTTCCCAAACTGCTTTTTTCCCCCATTTTGTTGTTCCTTTATAAGCAGATGGAGCAAACATAGATAGAGAGGTGGGCTTTTCAGCTTGCACAGTTTTTCTATGCAGGCAATGGTAATGGATGGATGGATGGATGGATGGATGGATGGATGGATGGATGGATGGATGGATGGATGGATGGACAGACGGACGCACACACGGACGGTTGAACGGACGGACAGACGGACGGACGGATGGGTGTATGGATGGACTTTTCAATAGCATTTATTTAAACATTTGGGGCTCTATCGTTTCTGTCCACCCATTAAGTGTAAAATTGAAAAACAACAAAAAATAAAAAATGTACCTAATAACCGCCCGCACAATATGTTTCTCTGCCCATGATAATCAGTTCGGCTCAGGGAAGATCTGGAGCCACTTTCTAGCTATGATACAGAAACATCAATTATCGGAACAGCTTTATCCTCACGAGGGTCGCAGGCATGCAGTTGTCTTTGAGCACTTGGTGGGGTATACCCAGAACTGGTTGCTAGCCAATCGCAGGGCACACATACACGAACAACCTTCCTCACTCACAATCAATTTTAAGGGCCCTATCA